GTTTATACGTAATACATATAGGGTTGTGTGTTCAGAATTTTACATAATATACAATAAATTTATATGGAATGAAGCTGGAATGTATAAGAAACGCGCATTGAATCTATATGATACGCGTTCTGAATCTACATGATACGTGTACTGAATCTATATGATACGCGTTAGTATTTTCATGAATTTTTTCATCTGGAACGCATACGGAATTTTAAGTTCCGTATAATAATTCCGGACACATTTGTACGGAAAACGCGCCCAATTACATAAGGAACTAATTCATTATGCATTGCTGATAAATTGCTTATATATTGCGTAAAATTCCTGATGCAATTTTCCCGTTGGGCAGCACATTACGGTGATAGGTATCCATCAAAAATACAACCGGGAGAATATGCACGAATGGTCTCAAGATGAACTGAATCCAGAGCAGCAGGTACAACATTCCGTAATGACCTAAGATTATATTCACAATGTTCACGGACATACTTTTTAGCAGCACCCAGTACATTTCTATATAATTGAATTCGGGGTGAAATTTTGAGTAAAATATAACCTGCACAGGTGTGAGTTGCAAATGAAAATTCATAAAAGTACCTTATGATCCATTGTTTGAATAAGTCCCTTTTCTCCAAGAAAATATGATGGATTAGCTATGAGACGGCGAGAGTGCGGTTGGAATCGGGCTCCTTTTCTATGCATGCTTTGCATTTCAAAGGCATGTCTCACGTCCACAATCCTCGCTCCTCCAACGCCCATTTAATACCTTTAGGTTTGCCACAAATGTTCATCTCCTTCTATCCCTTGTCTCATATCATTATTTCTCCCCTAGAGACTTATTCATCTTGCTGTCAACCAATGTATCTGGTATGGCTGGTGACATTCTCAAATGCAAAAATACCAATGGCATCAAGTGTGTTCTCTCAAAAATATCTACTGTATGACGAACTTGGAAACAAGCTTTTCACCATTCCATAATTTACTCCTAAAACCATAATCTCTTTTTACCTTGATTATCTTAAGGCGACCAATTGTTTCTGTCAAGAATCACATGGATTCCTTGCAAAGCCCTTTCTTCTGAAGAGATTGTTCACCCTCAGGCTCCCAAAAAGCATGAGGACCATCATAAAAGTGAAAAGTGCTCTCATTATTTTCAATGTCTTTAAAAGCTGATATGAGTTTTCATATTCGGAAACTTCTAAAAAAATTAATACATGATGCTTTACAACATTCTCATGTTTGTGCCATCTACATAAAAACATTTTTGATAACGTTTGTGCTTAAAAATGCATTCAATTATATGCTGTGCGTACACAAATAGACAGGAACATTTGAATCCGAGATCAGGGAGAACTTCCTCTTCGAAATACTTCTTTACAGTGTGTGGGGTCTAATGATACCTGACGAAAGGTTTCGTCACGTCATTCGTCGGACGAAACCCATAACGATTTACGAAACCTATGATGATTGACGAAGCCTTCTGACCAATCAAAGTAATAGCTTAAATCAGTACATGTATTATTGATTACAAGCTAGTATTTTATTGGTCAGAAGGTTTCGTCATTCGTCAGACATTTTCAAAATGGTTGTGAAGAAAGGTTTCGTCATCGTCGAGTATCATTAGTGGGTCACCTGAAACTTATATTGGCGAAAAAAGTGGTAATACGGATGGAGACGAGTTTATCGTTTCAATGGAAACTTGCCACGCTGACTGCATCTTTCAAGCACATATACAAATGAGTTTTGCATATCTATTGATTTTAGCAACTATTAAACTAGCTTTCAGATGCTCAAAACCATTTTCCAAGATCAGGTGCAAAAAATAAATAACTGATTGATAACGCACATGATCACTTTTTGAAAAATCTCCCTCTTCTATGAAATGAGTTGTCTCTTGTCCCTTTTTAAATTGTTTATTTTCCATGCCAGGCTCTTCGTTATTTTCGTCATCCTTCTTGCCATTATCCATCTGAGAATTATAGAAAACGAGGTAAGAGGCACCACACCCTTGGCTACAGCTGCATTTTCCTGACGTTTATGCGGTTGGTGCCTAACTAATTTCTTGAATATCGTAAAACCTTTTTTCGTTGTGATGTGATTGAGCAACCTCGAAAAGCTTCTGGAAAAGTTTTTGCGTTGTTGTCATTCCAAAATCATCGACAATGAGGTCAAGAATTTCTGCATTTATGTCATCTTTATTTTCTGAAGCTTCTGAGGAGGATAGAGAAAGGTCCACGGTTGCCACTTGTTCGAGTTTTTGTATGCCACCCCTCTTTAGATTCCACCATCGAGCAAATGTATGCTTATTTGGCCTTGTCATTAACCAGTATTTAGAATTACAGAAAAAATTAGCCCAAGGAGAAATTATTTATATGAGCAGATGCCACTCATGTAATCTATGCCTGTAACCTTCGTATGTTACATCAATGTCAGTGATTACACACCGCAGCCAAATTGAAGTTCAAGGTCGAAAGTGACCAGTAAGCTAAAATTTGAAAATTGGTTTGCTACGAATTAAAGACAACTCCTCTTTCTATCAATTTACGCAATTACGTATTTCTCTTGTATTGTTGTAGAATTAGCTATAACGATAATATTCTTAATTCGGGAAATTTTGACTAATATGATTGTAGGTTGTAGAATTATAATATACTTGATTCGTGAAATCATGACTAATATGTTATCGTGCAACAATGCGGTTGTAGTTGTCATTGCATTTATCGGTTATTAGTTCGAGTATGAGTTCCGTTTTCACAGTTATTCTTTTAGTAGCTAAATTTACAATATAAATAAGCCATACTTTTGAACTCGATTAAACTGTGAACTGATTTGATTATTGACTGTACAGGCCATATCAATAAGTCTTGTGATTCATCATTAACGATGGATTTTGATATTATTAATTTGGGTAGTCTCAATAAGTCCCGACGTTTTATTTTAGTTTTTGCTTTAGTTTTTCTTGAAGGCAGTCTCGGTAGTTATTGTTAATTGAACCTTTTAAATTCTTGTTATTACGTTGATCAGTTTGCGTACAAGCTGCCACAGGAGACCTCTAGAACCATCCTAACTGATAGTCACGACTTTTTTTTCCTTATTTCCTAATCTTTTATTTCAAACGTGACAGTATCACCCTCCTGGTTACAGTTATAACCATTTTGAAAAGCCACCTCGGAGTGGTGACTTTAAACAAATATCATTCCTTTTAAAGATCAATTAAATGTGAATCAGCTGGTTTCTTTAACCTTTTAGAAGAGATGAATTTGGTTGTTTCAATTCTGGAGTAAAATTACCGTATTTAAAATCACGCATATGTTTATAAACATTGTGAAATGTGAAATACAGTTTTTTGAGAATCTACTTTCTATTCTGGTCTCAAAGATATAAACCTTTCTGGTTCTATTAGAATCAATTCTAATAGATCGATATATGGCGTTTGAAATGAATTTAGCGTTATACCATGAATGATGGTCAATGGATTCTTAATGTTTACTCACGCAGTGACAAGTCCAAACAGTTGCGTAGACAATCAATTGTCACTTTTACTGTTGTAATAAATGGTTCAAGTTAGGGATGGGGATCGATTCCTAACCAAGAATCGATTTAACGTTAATAATTTCGATTAATCGTTTTAAATAAATTCGATCAATCGATTTTCAATTAATCGATTCTCAAATACTGTAAGAATCGAAATACCTATTTCAGGGATTTATTACATGTATGAAAATTTACAGTTTTTGCATATTGACATTACTAATAGGACAGAGCTATTTATTAAATTATTGTGTCGGTTCAACTTTTGAAATGTCATAATAGTTGGAATTCATCGAGTGTGAAGTCGGTTGTTATTTTTTATTTTGTCAATTATTTATGATAATTCTTAGTTTGTTGTGAAGAAAACTACTTATCTATTGTCGATCGAAGAGGCAAACGTTATCGTTATTACTACTTATCGCTATACGTATCAACAACCTTATCGCTATCGCTATGAAGGTTCAAGTACGAAACATGAGTATTATGAGAAAATCCTATAAAGTATGAAAACGAATTTTATTGTTATATGTTGTAAATACTTCGCGTATGTGAATTTGTAGTACACGTTAATTATTACGTTGTATGTAATATCATTTTGGATCAATCAAAATGTTTATGGGTGCCTTAATTTGCATGTTAAAGAATTAATGCGACATTTCATAAATTACTTTCATTTGAAATTTATTTGGGAAGCTTATTAGTATAGCCCAATCTCCTAATTGATTCTTAATTTACTTAATGACAAAATGGTATTTAATAAATTAACATAAAAATTTTCAAAGGTATAAAGTTTTTTAATCAGAAATATCTTGGCAACAAATATAACTATTTGTATTGACTTAAAAATATAAATTATATGAATTCATAATACCATAGCTGGTTCAAAAAATATCAAACTTCGGAGTATTGTGCCAGAATCAAAATATAACCGACGCATAATAATCTTAAAAATTCTACATCTTATTCTTTCAATTATAGATAGGTGGATTTCTTTATGGCGTTGTCGCCAGTGTTTAAAATTGACCTGCACAATTTTCGCACCGCAGATTGGTGACTGGTTACGCAAATAAAAAATCATAACGATAATGGGAAGTACATGTATTGGTATCGATATTGTATCATGCGCACAATGAAAAGTTTGCGCAGATAGATTATTTTAAAAGTAAGCGGGCGCGCAGAGTAATTTTAAATGAATTTTAAACACCAGTTGCCGCGTAAATAACATCTACATGTATGTCGAAATTATTACATAAAATTTAGACGCATTCATGTATATTTTAGTGAACATGTAATTGTGCAATTTAAAATCAATCAACGTGTTTTATACAGAACTCATTTCGTTTATCAACATTAAAACACATGCTGGACAAAAAAGATAATATATAAAAAATCAGATATTATTATTTTTATAGAAAAAAAGATTTTCAAAACTTAAAAATTCATCCGCAGCAAATCAGCACCTACGTATGATTTTTGATATCGATCGATCGAGATACCGTACTGTATATGTATCGATATAGGGCAGTTACATAAACTGCGTATAAAGCGAGGATAAAATATAAAAATATAACAATATAACAATTCTGATTTATTCTGAATCCACACTCATAAAAATGCCCAAAAAAAGTCCAATAAATTTGTCTAAATCTCGTTTCACCTGCTCAAAAAGCGAAAAAGATGTGCATCTAATTCCTGATATTCTACAAATAATATTCACAATGCTAATATACAAAGATTTATTTTCTGCAATTCGCGTGAACCGTACTTGGTGTCTCCTTGGAATCCCAATGCTTTGGAAAGCGCCGTTCAGTTATCGACACGCCAATTCGAAACATGCAATCCGTACATACTTACTATCCAACACAGAACCATCAATTAACTGTTTAAAGATGATTCCGTATTTTCCAAAACATACCATCTTGCCAGAAAATTTAGATAACTTTGAGGGATCGGGTTGTGATTTGGAAATTATTACGAAGCCTTTATTCGATTACATTTCATATTGCTTAGTGTTCGATTATGGTGGAATATTTCGTGCGGTTTTAGATTATTGCGAAACTTTAGATAAACTTTGCAGAAAAAAAACGGTTAAAATTATCATGAAAATATTGCTGGAAATGTTCAAATCTCGTGGTCATCAATTCAAAAATATGAGAGTGAAATATCAGTATCATGATAACAAGATTCTTTCTCCTAAATATGCATGTGTATATTCAGAGATTGACACGCTTGACTTGATTGGATTACATATTGATAAAAGTCACGTTTTGGCTGCATTGATTCCATTATGCCGAAAAATTGTAAATATGAATTTTTGATTATGCTTTCAATTTTATAAATTGATACTAATATAATTTAATCTATCGCAGAAACATTTAAGCATCACTATAAAAATCGGTTCTGATGAATTAAAGAATCTTATTGAACTCATACGCGGCCAAACTAATCTTACCACAATCGAGATAATCGGCGAAATAATTGATCACCGAAAATCACTATTGTCAGCACTTTGCGCACAGAAGGATACAATTACCTCAATGGAATTTTCTTATTTCCCTTTTGAAGGTTTTATGGATTGGACCATCTTTCGACAATTCACTCGTTTGAAACGTTTGAAAATACATAATGTCTCGAAAATAGATATTGATGATGATGTATTGGGTATTAAATGCATTGAAAGTACAATTTTACAGCGTACTATACATGGTAAAAAGTATCACGGCGAAGCATTAATTCCGGTTTTTTTCCTGAGATAACAATCGGTTTTATTATGACAAATATAATAAGATCTCGAAGTGGTATTAAAGTGTTACAAAAAGTCTCGTGTAAATTGTCATGAACGAACAACAGAGCTAGTTGCGTCATTAGCGATTAGATTTCGAAAAAATTATATTCATATTATTGATAACGATAATCTTTTAGTTTAGGATGAATTAAGATGTTTTATATTTCGTTTTTGTATTTAGAAAAATTCTACAAAAAATTTTTTTAAAGACACATTTATTAACTATTTTTTTTACTTGATGTTAAAACAAAAGTTCATACAAAATAATAAATAGCTATCGAGAGTAATGGTTGCTCTTATTGTAGATACTTAGTTAGAAAGCATGATCATGGTTTGCTTTTATACAAATTAAAATCATTTTCGTAATTCCTACTTTATCTCTATTGTTTGCGATTCAAAATTTGTCATGTTGAATAATAAGATCAGGCAAGCCTAAATTTGGTAACTTTACTTAAAATACTTTAACTATAGAATTTGGTAATCAATTTTTATTAAAGTTCATAAAACAAAAAGTATTAGCAAAATTATTCTATGGCAATAAATACTTTATTTAATATCCTCCATATTTATAGTAGCAGTGATAAATAAAATTAATTGTATGTATTTTTTTTATTTCATACGTATATAATCAATCCTAATATTATTATGCATAACATCTAAAGTCATTAAACATTTTTATTTTATAAAATGTATAAACTTCTTTGCTAAAGTAAATACAAAATTTAATTCCTGAAAGGGCCTATTCACGGAGTAAAATTTGTATTAACTTCTTAGTAAAGAAGTTTATAAAAAATACAAACGTTTGATGACTTTAGATGTATGCACCATAGTACATAGTATAATCCCATTGGACTCTATTAGTGCAAAAACACTGGATTTAATACTATCGACTAATTTTAATGTAAGATTTTTGAGAGATGATTCCATTCTTTTATTAATTCTGCTTTTAATCCTATAGTCGTTCAAATTTTTTCGCTATATTAATTTGCATTAACTGCTAACATTTTCTATAGGATTTTGGTCAGACGACATGGCTGGCCAGGGAAGATTTTTAACTTTATTTTCTGCTTTCCAATTTTTTGCTATCATTAGCTTCTTGTAAGATCCACTCATTCAAATAAAATAAACAAGTATTCATTTAAACCTCTAGATTATTTTTTTGTGAAATTGAGTGATCTAAATCAAAATTTTTAATTATTAAATCCCATATTGAATAACGTTTCTAAGACAAATCTTACCATTAAAATGTAATCTACCTACATACAAATTTTTATTAAAATTTCGAAGATCCAAATCTCTATTGGTAAATAATAGTCGAATTAATGCTCCTAACAGAGATTCAGACCTTCTGGATCTTAAATTTTAAGCAAATTGGTACGTAGATAAATTTCATACCTCGATATAACGAACCTCTTGAGCTGGAAATTTTTTTCGTTATATCGAGTTTCCTTATGAAACTTCGCTATATAGCGGTAATTTTAAAACAAAAGGTCTTTTTTTCTTTTGTTATATATCCAGGTTTCGTTATCTAGGTTTGACTGTATTTATCAAAAATTCTCAATAACGGTAGGATATTTACATCAATATGGTGGTGCATAACATCATACTCAATTGATAATTTTAACAAACTAAAACTACAAAAATAATATATTAGGTCATCACTTTTACGGCTTACCTTTTTTGTTTGCATAATTAAAATTACGTATGTATTTTTAGATCTCTCATACATGTAATTCTGAATGTTCAACACTATACATGTAATTTTATCGATCATTTATAAACCTGACCAAACTTAAAAAAAATTTTAATTCAATATAAAATTTTTTCAGCCTTCGGCCAATAAAATACTAGATTTCTGATAACGTAATATATTCTGAAAATTCGGAATAATCAACATAATTTAGATGTTACGCACCATACCAGAAAATATTTTGATTACGTATATTTATTTTAATTATTTGTTTATATTAAAAATATTTGCTTTTAATGGATAAATCATTTATGGAAGGTATCGCCAAAGACATTCAATGCTTGCTGGATATTGATAACAAAATGCAGATTTTTAATAAAATCATGACAATTCGCTACGCAAAGTATACACTAAAAAAATACATTTATCTTGCTCTTCCAATCACACTAAATAATCGATTCAGAAATCAATGCTATATAACAATATAATCAAAGAAATTTGTTTTAATTAATGTTCACAAATGCAAAAATATTGAACATTGATTTACATTGAGCAGTTATCGTGGACTCACTCTCCCTACATGATTTACTCATTGTGAAAATCAGTGTTTGATATTGTTTCTATGAGAAGACTAGAGTTTATTTTTACGCATAGTAAAAGTAACAAACGATGTTTATTATTCTTACAATTGTAAACAGGTAATCAGTTATAAACTTTATTTTTTTAAACAAAATTCAGAAAAATGGTTAATAAGTATGAATAAGTGGATTTTTTAATTTTTTTAATTAAAATATTTACTATTTGCATAAAAGGCGCCTCATTGAAATTTTCTATTGAATATGCGAATTTGATATATGAGGTTGAGTAATAGAAATCAAGCAAATTATTACATATAATTTGCTCGATTTCTATTGACTCAACCTCATATTAACTAAATGCAGTTCGAAAAATTGCTGGTACAATTTCGTGATTGTGAAATAAAAAATTACAATAATTATAAAAAAGTTAAAACAGCTCTGAATTAAAAATTCATGAATTTTTTGTCTGTGGTTTAATGCTATTATTGCTTGCTTTCCTTCTTTTTATTTTATTTTCTCAATTATTAGAAGTATTCTGGTTATTTTTATAATTAATTCTGGCTCGTTTTCTTTATTTTCTGGAAAACTGTGTTTATCATTATAAATTTTGTTTAGCAAAGTGTCACAGTTTTGCCATGTGTTTCGGAAGGTTTGACATGATTCCAGTTCATTTTCAGGCCAATTTTGCATTCTTTTCTTGCTCTTATTGTTTTGGCGAGTTCTAGTGTTGACTTGGTTGGTGTTTTTATGGATAAAAGCAGCAGAATTTTCAAATTTCACGTTTCCCTTGGAGAAATACTGTTTCAGCATTTTTAGTGGCTTGTGACAATTTTCTTCATTGTTGTTATTATTTTCTTATTGATGACAATAGTTACAGTGATTAGAGTGCGAATAAGAGCTGAGACAGAGTTTTAGCATTATTGTTATCACTATTTTCATCATTCCCACTGTTAATCTCACAAATTCCATCAAATTCACCATTGCTGTTATTTGCATCACCATTTTTACTGTTCTGACTTGTCCATGGAATACTAGTCATAGCCCAATTATACTGGCTGTCATCATTATTTTGCTGAAAGATGTGTTTTGATGCTAGCAAATGCATCATTATTATTTTTCTTCTATTTTTCCGTTTTTGGTTATTCCGTTATTGATCAGTCAGTTGATTTTTAGTACAACATACTAAAAAAAAAAGTGGGATAGATTAAAGCGTAGTCTATCTGATAATCCGTTTAATCAACCTGGCAAAACAAATTTGAAGCAAAGACAAAAAAATGAAAAAATATGGAATACGGAAGCTTAAATCTATTTTGGAGCACTAATTAAAAATGACAGGCACTTTTATATATAACTTTTATCTTCTTCCCAATCCGAAGATTAAAATTACCTTTTAATATTTTTTAATATATATCACGTGATATTTTATGCTTTAACCACTCTAAAATATAAAAGGAAGCTAACCTATGTAGATAGTAATTAATAAAGAGCGTGCGGTTATTTTAAATTATAATTTTCGTTGTTATTCTACTAAAAATCAACCTAGTCGAAAAATTGACTAGTGTTAGATATTACTAAATATAAAAGGTAATAATTTCGATTACAATCGATCAGTCGATTTTTGTTATCAGTCTAAGATTATATGTAAAATTGTCTCCTGACATTTTTAGTACTTCAAGCTAAGTTTAGATAGTGTTCCTATAAACTAAACTGAACTGGAATTTTGTCTGGGTTCGAGTCTGGTTCAAAATTTGAACTGAACTTTGGCTTGAGTTCAAGAAGATTCAAAGTTTGAACCAGACTCAAACTGAACTGTTATATGATTTCAAGTCTGGTTCAAGTTTGATTAGAGATCTACCTATATTATCATATATCAATTTATAGCCCTAAATATGAACTATAACTTTAATTACAGTGACCTTCCAGAATATTGTGAACACATTTTAAAATATTATAATGTAAAAACTAAAGATGGTGTGGTAACTGTTGCAACATGGTGACAAATAAAGCATCACCTAATTACAACTAATTGCAGCTTATAAAATTTTGGAGTTGCAACGTGTTGCAATGGGTGACAAATAAGCATCACATACTTGCTGTGCCATCTCTAGTAAAAACCAATAAAAAAGCAAGATTTATGATTCTAAGCTAATAGAATCATTGAAATATATTGTATATTATATCAAAATTGCAAGTAATTTTGATAACTAGCTTAAAAATATATATAAATATAAAAATAAAATATAGTATCAAACTGAAAATTTACATGAAAAAAATATTCCATTTTATAAAGATGCAAATATCTTCATATTCAGTTAACAAATCAAATAATTTTATATTACCAGATACAAAAATCATGGTGAAAAAATATTTTAAAGAAAATTTTTAAAGAAATCCATTTTTGCAAATATTTCTGTATCCAGTGGACCAAATTGGATAATTTTGATATTACTAGATTCACTTAAACAAGATGAATCTGAGAATATCAAAATTATCTAATTTAATTAATGTGATGTAGAGATATTCACAAAAAATTATTTTCTTCAGAAAATTTTATTCCAGTTTTGTATGTTATCTTTGAGATGTAATATTTCCATATCTAGTAATCCAAATTAAATGATTTTGATATTATTAAATGTGCCTTAACTTGAAGAATTTGTAAATAAAATTATATTTAATTTGATGTGAAGTTATTTGCATCTTTGTAAAATAATATTTTTTCATATAAATTCCAGTTGATACTAAATTGTATTTTATATATATTTATATATATATTTGAACTAGTTATTAAATCACTTAAAATTTTGATATATTATACAATATGTTTTAATGATTACATTAGCTTAGAATCATAAATCTTGCTTTTTTATTGGTTTTTGCATTATTGTATTTTGAAAAGTGTTCACAATATTCTGGGAGACCAATGTATAAGTACAAATTATAGTATTTAGTGAGAATTGAAAGTTTACTTAGTGACAACTAAATTATTTTCATTTTTACAATTATTAAATTTTATCATAAATTCTATATAGCTCTTTGAATATTAATTATTAATAACAATTATCTTATACCAAACTGTAGCTTTATTTCTGGCTACAACATTGCTTAGAAACGTAGTTTATAGTTACTATACAAAAAATAAATGTTTACTATAAATTAAAATCGTAATTATTAAAATAATTTTTAAATTTAAATAACATTTTGAATATTTAGCCTCAATATCAACTATCATATACCAATTTGTAGCTCATTGAACATTTGCTTGAACTCGAACTGGACTTTTGGTCAGGTTCGAGTCAGGTTCGAAGTTCGAATCGAACTCGAACCAGACTTTTAATTGGGTTCGAATTTTCGAACCAGACTTTTTTTCGGAACCCTAGGTTTAGGCATCTGTTTTCTGTATTTTTCGCATTTTTCATTTTCTTGTGTCGGATTTGTTTTGCCGGCAGATCAAAAATTTGCGCCACTTCATTGGTCAATGATCTAGCCGGCCTACATTTTTAGGGGTAATGATAGATTTGCTATTTGACAAGTGACTTTTGGTCATTGGTCACTAAATGTAATATTCAAATAAGGTCAATTAGTAGGTCACTTGAGTTTAAAGTCATTTTGAAGTCACTGTCCAACCTGATATATTCCTTCCTGTAAAACCTACACTTTTGCACGTGTTCTTCTAGCTATGCGATGCAAATATAAAATAGAAACTCTATTATTGGCACGACGATGTTAGACATTACTTGTGAAAAAGTGGGGAAGGGCAAAAGCAAAAAGTACCGTTCAAGAAGTCAGGAACTACTACACGGGAATATTTAATAGATCTTGTTAATAACCGAGATCCTAACCAACAACGCAGCACTAACACACGCACGTGCTCCACCTCCGTAAACTCGAAATTTAGCACAGATTTTGGAGTTCGTGATGAACAACCAACTAATAAAGACACTGCCGCCGCTGCCAAGAAGCCATTTGCTTACTGAGCAAAAGCATCGAAGAGAAGGGAGTTATCACTAGAAATCGTTGTTCAGTCTGCACGAAATTACAGCATTTCCAGTTTGGGATGACTAATGCAACAGAAGCCAGCACGAATTAAACATTTGTGACGACCAACTTCCAATATCAAAGTAATAGTGACGAGGCGTCGGAAGTAACAGCCCAACAACTAGGCAAACACAACAAACTTCTCACCGATAACAGCAACAAACCAGTAATAGGTAATAGTTGCCGCCGAATGTGGACAATATACATGTAATTCACTGACCTACGATAAATCACCGTGCATATAGATATTGATATGCATTATTCTTTATCGAGTACGTAATGTTTTACATGTACTTTGTTTTTATTTTCACTTTTGATTTTTACATCGTTTCGATCTTTATTGTGCTATGAAAAAAATCAAAAATATATGAAAATTTGCAGATATGCGGTTTCATATATTGCGATCAAGTTTACTCAAGACTACTTTATAGAATAACTTATTGTAATTACTTCCAATTATCTGATCGAACACTATAAATGAAACCAAGTCTATTAATCTAAATGGTAGTTTTTTTATTACATCATGAAAATTGATTGAAAACATAAAAATTTACATATATCATGATTTAAATTTATCGCATTATATTAAAGTTAAACACATCATGATTTAAATCATAAAAATTTAAATATATCACATCATGAAAATTGATTGAAAACATAAAAATTTAAATATATCATGATTTAAATTTATCGCATTATATTAAAGTTAAACACATCATGATTTAAATCATAAAAATTTAAATATATCACATCATGAAAATTGTTGAAAATATAAACATTTAAATATATCATGATTTAAATTTATCGCATTATATTAAGTTAAACACATCATGATTTAAAACATAAAAATTTAAATATATCACATCATGAAAATTGATTGAAAACATAAAAATTTAAATATATCATGATTTAAATTTATCGCATTATATTAAAGTTAAACATCATGATTTAAATCATACGTGATAAATCACACAACATATAATACATCGTGTGTAAGTCTAATACGTATCTTTCTTCCTCTTACCTCGCAAATATCTCCTATATTCCTAACAAAATTTTTTAAGTAAGTTCTTTATTTGCTTCATTTCTTTCATACTTTACAAATGTGCCTGTAAAACTTCTGGAGATATAATTTAACTGGTGTCCCTCAAATTATGAAATACAACTTTACTGGACTGGTATTCTTCAATCACAGTTCATGTCGCGAACACCACACAAATACTTCGGTCGCAAATCCTCTGAATGGGGTATTTTAGGATTTTTAAATGAATGTGATCTGGAACCATTTGAACGAAAACTAGACTGTTACCTTAAGGATCTTGAGTATATTGTTAATGTTGATAAAGGCATCAGAAAACAAAGAGCACAGTTGCTTCTCAATAACTACAGACTAGTGAGTATAAGTTTTCTTATGTTAGAAATACAAAATGGTGATGAGATGTTGGTGACTTGCTGGATTGCCTGACATTCAAGACTGTTAACTGACCTAATTATAATTGAATTTTTCATATTAGGATGATCAACCTGATAAACAACTAGCACAATCATGGGAAATAGCTCAAGTGTCCGAGTTTAGTGATGATGAAGAAATAAAATTCGATTTAAGCAGTGTTGCAGAAGAACTACGACGTGAACCAATAACGGAGGTATGTTACATATCAAAAATCTTATTTTTTTATTACAAACATATCATAATTTGCTTCTGTTTTTTAGTGGGTGGTTGCTGATATTAATGTAACCCAAAGATTTAGAAAATTCCAAATGGACGTGTTGGACCAAACACAACGAAATGGTCTAACATACAATAATGTTTATGAGCTTTTGTGAGTATTTTGAAATATGGTATTGTAAAAGCATTAAAATGTTAAAATCAATTATTTTTTCTGTCCGGTAACGTTGTGACACGATATCTCGCGATCCAATATCCGAAGTTACCGGATATATATATTATGAAAAATACCAACTTTATAATATGAAAACCAAAAATATTTTTGTGTGGCATAATATTAATTAACTAATATTTCATGAAATATATCAAACATCTTTTCTTATTATATCTAGAGCTCTATCTTCGATCATAGTACTTACAAGTCCATGCCCATATCCGATATTTACAATTGAGGAATGGAACAAAATAATCAAGGAGAATCCTTATACAATTGAAAACCATCCAATCCCACCAGAAATGTCGTCAATACTTCACCAAGCATCCTGCAATAATTTCATAGGAAAAGACGCAACTATAGATGGTGGCAACTCGCAATTAGGTAAAAACGTTGCACGCGCATTTAATGAACTGTAAGTTTATTTATCTTATATGCTATAATATGTTTGTTATTTATGAATTTGTGACTTACATATAATATATTATAGATATGCTAGTGTTCCGAAAGTTGCGCCAGCAAAAATATCTGAGGATACATACTCTTATTTGTATCTTCATCCAATTTCTCGTCCATTTTTTTCTGGTGAAAAAGAATATGACCTGACATTAAATAGTGCAAATGCTGATTCAACGAAAAGACCTGATCTCTCTTGTGAAGTATATCAGGTAGCAATATTAAACTCAGAATCCAAGCCAATAGGATTTACGCCCTTACAGCATAAAAAGGACAGTATTAAAGTACAATTGAAGGCTTGTAAATCAATAAATCAGCAAATGGATAGTAGGGGAGGTCCAGGTGAAGCTGCCATACTTCTAAATATGGGTATGTGTGCTTACGATGAATTACATGAAAGTGATTTTTATGGCGAGTACTGAATTATACTTCTGTAATCACCAGGTGATCAAACGGAGTCATTTATTATGGACCTGAAGTTTGATGGCTTATATCGTTCTTGGTCCTTCCTTACTACCAAACTGGTGATTGACAGGGCCTCGCTTCCATTGGCTGAGTTTGCAATTAGCCATATTATGGCTTTGGAGGTACATATATTTTTTTTAGGTTTATAATAAACATTTTTTGTTTTTAACATTGGTTTTTTATATTGGCAGGAGTGTGTCGGAAAAATTGCAAGGGATTATAAATATCGAAGCACTAAATTCACTCCACTTAAGCAAATGTCTTTTGTGCGCAAACTCCCCAATTCGCCACAAGTCAAGATGTTGCTTAGTTAAGTTGAATGCAAGTTTTTGCTTGTGTAATAATTGTAATGAACTAGTTGTTAGATATCAATATTGTTTATAGATAGTTATGTAAAAAAGTAATTTTCATTTCTACAAATACCAAAAATATCATAAATATCAACATAATTTGGATTCGCTCGAAAGATCTTTTAATTTTCATGCATTCATTCATTAGACTATAGATATTTTTATTTCCATTAAACCTTTCAACTCTAAATTCGTGATATAGAAAACATTCTCTGCAACGAATATATTTACTACAATGAACTGAACACTCATAGCAATGCTTATTTTAACAACCGGTACATTTACTATACATGTACGTGTATCAAGCAAATAGTATTGTTATCCATACAGTGAATATAACAAACGAATTTATGGTCTAGCGAAAACAACGATATCGCCAGTCTAATAAAATAATGCGTGAAATTGGAAAGTTTCGAATAGATTCCTTATGAAAGATAAGATTCGCCAATATTGATTAACTTATAAAAGTAGGTTTTGGAACAATTTAAAGTATTGTTGTACCATCACAATTGGAATCATGGAGAAAATAAATTTACACAATAAAGATAAATGGGAAGTTGTGTTGAAATCGTTGTACAATTCAAAGCAACGAGGTAAAAATGAACTATTTCTAAAGTATAAGAATGATGCTTTCTTATTTTCTAATACAATTAAGTTTTTCAAAAATATATTCGTGCAAAAATTCCAACTATAAAAATTGACTTGGTATCAAAAAAATTGAAATACTTGAAAAATATTACCTATCAGCTGAGTGCAATATACGAAAAGAAACTTACACATAATGACTTTCACCCGGAAAATTGCTGATTTTGTGAGTCCATAAATATCAAATACACTAAAATTGCAGATATTTGTAGAGTCATAATATATATTTTGCATACGACATCCATAAAGTACGACCTAAGATACCAAATAGTGTTCCCAGATGGTACAAATTCATCATTGAGAAACGTTGTGATCCTATTTCAGAAAACAGACCAATTGCGAAAGTGCTTGAAGACTTTATCAGCTCTATCTACTATGTTTACTTTATCGATGGGAAGTGGAAACCAAATACATGTACTTTGCACTTTCAGTACTACAGCTCTTTAGAATATCCTAAATCATGTGAGTGGCTTAAGCTAGAAAAGAACTTGATGAGAAGATAAACAAAAAACAAATTCACCCAATTACAGTTTACACCAGCCAAATCTTTAATTCCAAATGAATTTAAGTCGTATTAAAAATTCACATTAATTAGAGATCATATCAAATATTTGTCTCTACAATTATCTGTTTGTATGTAAACTTACATTATGCACTACTCAGAAATATTTTTTTTGTATAGTTGTTCTTTAAAGTTGCTCTTTTCTTTAAAAAAACTAATTGTCATTACTTTTCGTGCGGACTGTAATAGCCTGATTTTTTTTAAGATCTCGGGAACTACTTCATGGAGAATTCAAAAATATTATTTAATCACGTGAGATTAAGCATTTTTTTAAAAGTTGTAATCGTTGTCATCATCATACGTAATAAACAAGATAATTAGTACCCTAGCCGTGGCGAAAAAAAGTAACGGGTCACGTGAATTCGATCTATTCGGTAATCGGATACTTCGAAGTACATGTAATAAGTGACGGGTCACGTGTACAACAATAACTTGATTTGAAAAAAAGCAAACGAATGATATCATGTCACTAAAGTTGCTATGGTACTTGAATACAATATGTACTCGATCTAATCGTATATGGATATGCATCACCATTGAGTCGCGAATATGAATACCACTATCGATGAGGCATTAGAAGCGTTATACTTAAATTAGCGAAGGCTTTTTAGCTTAGAATCTTTATTCTCTATTGTTAATCGATAACGTACAACAATCTTTTAAGTCCCCGATTTGGCAAAAAAAAGGAATGATATCATTAAAGTCACTAATACACTAACCTTAGTCCTTGGACACAATATGTACTCAGTTTAATCATATGATGGATAGGCATCACTATTGAGCCACGAATATTAATACCATTATCGATGAGACATTAGACAAAGATTATTGTAGACAGAAAAGGGAAGCGTTATACTTAAAGTAGCAAAAGCTTTTTAGCTTAGATTCTTTATTCTCTATTCTTAAAGTAATCAATAAAATAATAAAGAAATTGTACCTATCATCAGCTTTAATAATACATTTAGTATAAGTGATTCGTCTTGCGAGTTCAGGAAATAGATGCTACTTAAAGAATAAACATTAATTATTAAACCAACCTCGAAGAATATAAAATACTCAACTTCAACCAACATCACAATGGAGATTGGTTATGATTGGTTCAGCAATTAACGGATCTCATTGGATAACAATGCGTTACGCGTTATATTATAATTTTTTTATTTCTTTCACATAAAATTTCAAAAATGAGCGAAAATAAAAATATTTTATCAGAAACCTTCAATAAAAAGGCATGCAGTATCTGTCACAGTCAAAGAAAGGATGAGTTTTGTCATATCTGTGAAATTGATCTATACAAGTATGTTATCTGTAATCGATGTCATGAATGATGCAAAAACAAAAAGCAAGCAACTAATTTGCTTCATAGAAAGAAAACAAAAATAAATATCAGTTTAAATGCAGCGTCCCAAGCACTAGTAGCAGCACCCTGGGCGAATTAGCATAGCAGACAATCGTTTGGTAATACAAGCGATCAATTCAGTAATTTTGACACAGAACCGCTTGGTCCAATAAAATTTTGTAAATTTGTGATGCAGTTATTAGAAGGTGGCGTAGTGTTGCGTGCTACTATTTTAATCGGTCAAAGAGGGGTTTTTACGCAACTGGGATGAGAGCTAGACTGAATTAT